CCTCTTGAAAAGGGGTCGGCGGCACCCGGGCGAAGCCCTTACAATATTGTAGTTATTTGCAATTCAAATCCCAGTACAACGATAGAATCTATTGTCGTCTCATTTCTTCTTTCCTCCAAGGGAGAAAACCGAAGCAACAAAAATGCAATTTCTCTTCCCGCAAACCAAAAAGGAGAAGGTTGCACAAAAATGGACATCCCTGCTTGCAAAAACCACGGGGATATGTAGAAGTATGACTGTCATGTATGCGTATCACTTGGAGTCTTTTCAACTCCTATGTAGGCTTTGGGCTTTGCACAAATCATGCTTTGCATTGATGATTAGGTCCATTGTGCGTCTCCTCGCCTTTTGCAGAGGAACTCCGTGATTTGGCTTTTCCTTTCTTGGCCTCAAACGGATCAAACTTGATCAAACCAGTGGTCTTGGTGAAAGAAGTCGTCTTGGCCCTTTAAGGGAGAGTGAAGTGATGTGACGTCACGCACCCAAGCGTTGGTTGCATTCCAACAAACGGCAGTATATAGTGACATCCAAGACAGTCTTGCAACATCTGCTATCAAATCGCTCAATAAGTCAGCAGTTTGAAGTTTGAACATGAATTCTCAGAATTTGGCGCTTTTGCCACGCTTTTTTTTCAACTTCTTTTTCTTCTTCGCCTTGGTCGAAAGCAATACATTGATCTCTTAATCCCCACTATTCCCGTCTTCCCCCCCATGGAAGATGGACCTCTCTCTTGGACCTGCAACTTGTTTCTGTCCAAGAATTGCCTATCCTGGTTGTCAGGTCCCGCAAAAAATGAATCATGAAGCACACTCTGAGAAACTGGCAATGAACGGATTTGACAGCAAGTCCCTAGGATGGCACGGTCTTCACACACTCTAACATCTGGACAGAAGATGCATGCTGCATAACCCAGCAACAGTCAGTCACGACGTGCCTGGACGACTGTCTGCCACGCTCTAGCAGGGATGATGGCACATGCACTGCTGCCAAACCCAATTACAAAACAGAACATGTTGGCTCGAGATGTTGAGAAAACCAAACATGCAAGGTTGTGCTCCTAAATTTCTCGCAGGCCCCGAGTGCAGCCCAGTGTCGGGTGTGTGTTCACCAGGTAGATGCCGTTAAGATGCCCAGGCTAAGCACGTGCGAGATCCACGCACGCACATGGATCACAAAAAATGGAATGCTAGTGCATCGCTACTAGTAACAAGTGCCTTACTAGTAGTAACAAGAAGCTACTAGGATACAATACTAGAATCTATTTTTAATTAGAACATAACATCTTTGCGTCGTGCAGACTCCCATCAATTCAAATAGCTGTCGGATATTGCATGTAATCAAACGTCTGGTTCTACACGGGTCCTTGACTGTCCTTGTGACTGGATCTCACAGTGCAAGTGGCAAGTTAATTGTGATTAACATAGTCCTCTTCTGTTTCAATTGGCGGTCACACTTTGCCAAGCATAGTTCACCGTTCGTCCCTTTGCTTCAACCTAAGTTTCTGACATTCATCTTGTGAGCAGGCATGACCAAAGCCCGCTCTAGCACGGGCACGTTCAATGGGACGTTCCTGCCGTGATGAAAAGCACAAACTTGCAAACAGCCCTTCCACAACAAAGCACTGCTCCCACCTGATAGAAAAGACTCTTTTGATCTCTTCAACCTCTTGCATCTGGTGGAAGCGCATCTGACGGGCAAGCGGCGGCAAGCATCATTGTTTCTATTGGCTCGCCATTCACTGAATCTCCCCAATTTGCCAATGCCTCGTCCAAAACGGCCGATGTGCCGTCCTGCCTGAGAAACACCCCACAGTTCACAGGCTCCACGGCTCAAAAGAAACGCGCCAATCGTCTAAATTCAACAGAAAATGGCAGTCAGATCCAAGCTGGTCAGGATCAGCATGAAAATGCTTCCACCTCAGTGTGGTGTGTCATCTATAATTTGAATCTAAACTCCTGGTTTAGTCTGTCAGAATTCAGGCTTCTACCAATCACAAACGCCGATGAGAACGTCAGAATCATCCTGCACAAGTCGGGCATGATCGATCCTGCTTTTTCACCGCCGCTTGCTTGAAGCCGTTCAAATTCAAACTCTTTCCAATGATGTTGCAACAGTAGGCGTTGCTTGCTGCAATCAACATTTGGCTGGTGCTGCAAATGATGCAAGCATATGTTGGTTTTCTCAAACACCACGCAGTCTCCCTCTGGTTCCCCCGGTGCCTCCCTGCGGGGAGGTGGTGCTGTCGGTGCCTCACCATGGTCCCACTGCTGCCGCAGTTGGGCAAGAAGTACAAAGTACAAATCCCCGAGGCTCTGACATATGCACTCAACCTCGGTGGAAGGTGAAATTTTATGAAATGTTGTTCCAAAACCTGCTCAGCCATCCAAATCAGATCAAACCGCGTCTATGCTGCACAGCGGCGTGTTGCACTCAGCACTGTTGTCTCTTTCACCTCCAAGGAATCTCAAGCAACATCAAGCAACTACAGGCATCCCTCCAGTGAATTTTCCCTGGTCATCTGATCTCCCGGGCCTCTGTCCTCCTCAGAGTCTGGGTCCTTGGGAAGAGAGTCAATGCCACCCTTCTAGCATCTTCTAGCCTTTCGGCTGTGAACAGCTGACATCTTATGCAAGAACGAGGCTGAGACAAAGTAGCAAAACATGAATTCCAAAGCAAACCTGCTCTCTTCTATGTCTTGTCAGCAATAACTATAATTACTCTGGGGTATTGGGTATTGGGAGCTTGCAGCTTTTCCCACTGCTACATGTCACAATCTGAAGAAGTATCAGATCTGTATCTCAGCTTCAAGCTGAGATTTGAGCGTCGGCAAGGAGGTGGGCATGAATCCGTCGAAGGTGCGCAATCCTCGAGCCATACGATTCTAGTGCAGGACCAAGAAAACAATCTCTGGAAACAACAGAATGGCAACAGTCTCTGAACACAGAAATGCCTAGAAAGGACTGCCAAACCACTCAAGGTCAACTTAACACATTTGGAGAGCTACCTAACACGCTAAACGTGATAATATGATAGACAAAGTGTCTGCTTTCACCTGTCACCCATGTTCCAGCAAATCCTGCAGTTTCTATTCACGTCCTTGAGTTTAAAGGTTTCTGCTTTGGTTTCTCCACGGCAAAGCGAGTCACCTGGCTCAACGGCTTCATGGGCTGCAAAAAGATCACGAAATGGCCCAATGTCGGTGAAGTTCAGTTTGTTTGTAGGGATGCTAAAGCCAAAGCTCTGTCATCGTCTTGCGACGTTTATTCATTTTGCCACGAACTCAGATCTTGCTACTTTGGCAGCGATATCGATGCTGCTGGCTGGTGGATTGACTAGAATGAAACACGCTGAAAGTGGACAAGTCTTGGGAGGTGGTTAGACAAGTCTTGGTACAAAAGAGAATCAGCGCGCCTGTGAGAAAACCTGTGGCTGCGAAACATCAATGCGAGGAGGATCCGACCTGAGGTTTCATAAGTTCACCATCTCAAACCAGCCGTGCACTCTGGATCTCTGATTGCTAGAACTCCAAGAAACATCCAATTACGGCTTTCCGGTTTCGTTTTCCAAGGAATTGCACAGTTGGGCTACTATGCTCTGTTTGTATAGAAACAGCCGTTAAGCTGCAACTCCTGTTTTGGGCCGCGAGCTGCAAAGTCAAGGTGACATGACATCCTACTATGTGCAAGGTACAAAGTGTACATATTACATGGAGTGAAAATACACCCCCCTCAGCTAAGGTAGCTTTGCTCCCGAAGCTGGACGCGGAAAGTGCACGAGGGCTAGTGCAGGGCACGACAGTGATGTCGGCTCAAAGCTGCATGGCAGTTATGGATGCTAGCAATCCACTGCCTTCGTGGCCCTGTACGTGCATTTTAATTATTCACTCCCCGCCGCCAAAAGAAATTGAAAGTTTGGACTTGGGAGGAAAACCGCATACATATTGACAATGGATGTCATGCAATGAATTATGCTCGCTCAGGCAAAAAGGTTGAGACTTGGCTCAACTAACGCCAATGCCACTGGCTCCGACTCGAGCTCCAGTCCCACGAACGGCGGTCCCACTGCCGCTGCTCGCCCCACTCGCTCCAGTTCCATGAGCTCCATCCCCACGAGGACGATGCTGATCCGGATGCACGTGGGCTCACCGGTGAAGGTGGCGGACCTCCCTTTGCCTTTGAAGCTGGAGTTCCATCACCTCCGGTAGAGGACTTGCGCTTGCCCTTGCTCTGCTGCTGGCGCTGCTCTTGAGTCTGCTTGTTGACCACGTCACGCCTGGCACCGGAGAGGTTGTCGTGGCATAGCTGGCGAAGCTCCTCCATTGCGCAGTATTGGCTCATCTGATGCACACCGTCCCAAGCCAAAAGGCCGCGATGGGAATCGGGTGAGTTGAGGTACTCGATGTACTCGCGCAAGGAGAGGATGTTTGTGCGATAGATCACGCACCATTGCTCAGGAATGTAATCCATGGCTTGTGGATAGCGATCGGGCGCTACGTCGATGTGCCAGAGAATGATCTTCGTCATATCCAAGGCCCAGGCTGACTTGCGCTTTGTTGCGCGGCGGGTTCGCCAAGTGAGCATGGCAAAGCCAGTCCTGCCGCTGCGCTGCCCGATGATCATAGCCCATTTGTAGCATTCGTTCCATGAACTGGACGTCATGCTCGAAGCGATCCTCGATGCTTTGGAAGCCGCACTTGTCTGCACGCTTCATCCGGCTGCGAGCGTCTTGGATCATGATTGCTTCTGGGCTCATGTTTCCACGGCCGCTTGCAGACACCACACGCAGATTGAGGCCAGCCTTGATGTATTCACTGACTGGGCACTCGGTGCGAGCGAGGCCGGCCCTCGCAAGCTGCTGCTTTCGGAGAACTGAGAGTCTGGTGACCGCTTCCTCCGGCAGCTCGGTGTTGGTGGCAAGTTCGGCTGAACAAATGTCACAGTGGGTCATGCCCCTGAGGACTAGACCCTTGCATTGGCTGCATTCGACCTGGATCACCGTCAGCTTGCGTCCCTTTCGAAGTGTCGGGGCGGTGATCGGCGCATCAAAGCCAGGTGGAGGCCCCGCAGGCTCAGGCGGAGCGTACCCACTGTAAGATGCTGCAGGTTGCTCTCGCTCTGCCACATTCACGATGGAAGTAGGTGGAGTCGAAGGTGCAGCCTTGCTTGTAGGTGCCGATTTGCTGGTTGCCGTCAGGGAAACAGGCATTGCTTTTGCGGTTGGCCGGGGCTCGCCAGTGATGGCGGCCCGGCTCTCACCTCCATCCGCTGGAGCAGCCTCGGGTAGGCCAACGGCGCTTACCCTGGTCCAGAGTGTGGACTGGCTTTCGGTGTTTTCGACGGAGACAATGTATTCTGGAGGTACCGTGTCAACCGTCATGATCCCACCGGAGCGGTTCTGGAAAAAGATGAGACCGCCATCGACTGCTTCCCGAAGTGCAACGGTAAGCTGAATAGGGTGCTTGCCGCGGAGACCGCTTTGATAGTCGGTCTCCGTAATGCGGCTTGCAGCCAGGTAGACATGGGCTCGATCGCTGCCAACAAACTCGCCCCCGCCTGGGATAAGGCCCTCCTTGACGATCCGCTTCCAGCACGCTGGCCTCGTGCGGTGGTAGGCCAAGACAGGGATCTCATCCGCTTTGGCGATGGGCTTCCCAATGAAGGGAGCTTTGGCTTCTGGCCTGAGCGCAGGACTGCAGTACATCAGGGCTGCCGATCTGTAATTGTCCTGTGCGCTCTTGATCGCGCGCTTGCTTTGGCCAGCAGCGGCACGCATCTTCAGAGGCCATAGTGCCACGCCCTTCTCCTCGAGTTTGTGCCCTTCTCGAATGCCCAAAAACTCAAATCGGTTTTTTCTTGTCCTTTGCTGCTATGGCGATCAAGTCTTTGACGGTGAGCGGCGGGGCACTGCGGTGATTCAGGCCGAAACACCTGGCTACTTCGTCCAAGTCTGCGTAGCCATCTTCGTCAACCTCAAGGCCCAGATATTGGTCATGTTGTCGAACAACTTTGGATAACTGGGTGAGCCAATCCTTGAGGGGTTTCGCGAAGAAAAGGTGCCCGCCATTGAGCTCCCATCCGCTCGCAAAGTGGAGCGGCAATTGCTTGTCGCCAAGCTGGACCACTTGCTGGAAGGCGCCATCGACCTCGGCCATCTTGTACGTGCACTCGTGGTATTGGTCTGCAAGATACTGAGGGCACACAACGTGGCCTGCATCAGCATCGGCTGCCGGCGGCGATGAGGGTGCCTCAGGCTCGGGCTCGCCAGTGATGGCGGCCGAGCCTTGCTCGCCATGAGGTGCGCTTTCTTCTTCATGTTCTTCTGGCACGACCTCCTCATATGGCGATTCCTCCTCATCATCAATGGCATCGATGTCGAGCCATGCCGCTGGGTTCTCACCAGTTTCGACGCGATGGCTGAGTTCCTCAAGCGTCTGGAGCCGACCCTCATAGGTTTCTCGGTTGATGTCCAGCTCTGCAGCAATCTTCTCCTGCTCTTCCTCCATGACATCAAGGCGTTGCTGGAGGATCTTTTCTGCCGTGGCGTCATTTGCGACGAAAATCGCCGAAAGGTCTGGATCATCTTCCTCCCCTTCGGGCTCATCATCGATGACGGCCATGTCTGCCTCGGTAATCGGTGCAGCACGGTTTGGCTGCTCCGCAGCGACGTCCTTCTTGGTAAGGGCGCGAGCGGTGAGCTCGGCTGCGGCGATTGCCCTTTTGTGGCGGACATCGGCAAGGTTTCGGATTAGCTCTTCGTATCGCTGATGTGGAGGGAGGCGATCATCACGAAGCTCAAGTCCACCGAGCGGACAGTTCATCGGACTGGTGGCAGCTACTTCCAATGCGATATCTCCGAGAACATAGAGTCTCATAAGCAGGTGGAATACACTCTGACAAAATGAGAACATATGATTTGCATTCTCGTCCGATTTTTCGCAATGCCATTGGTCACGCAAGTCCATGCGGATGTTGAGGACGTTGATGTTGACTAGGCGGAAGCGACACTTGCCGATCTGAGAACCATACACCTCATCTTGGAACCATTGACTCAGCCGGTTGTACCAGTCGCTGTACGGTCCCTGCCGCGTGAAGTTGTAGGTCTCAGGATCGGGCGCGCTGATGAGAGCGGCCGAGTGCACACCGTATCGAAACATATCGGCGGCAAACCCGACCAGCTCTTCTTGCGCCTTCTCCTGTAGCTCCATGTAGTGATCGCCGTCAGGATGATCGAAGGGCCATGAAGTCTGGGCTTCAATTCCTTTCTTGCCAATGAGCTCGTTGCCAGACCATACCACGCCAACCAGCAGCATGCAGCCTGGAAACTGGCGCTTGAGGCTCCTCACGGCAATACGGGCTCGTTTCAGCAACAATGGCAACTCTGCACCCCAGAGGCATTCGTGATGAAAATGCTTGCAGTAAGTTGGACGATAGGCCTGAAAGTGATCGGCCAGATCGAACTTGAGAGAGGAGGGGGGTGAACGAAAGGTAGCAGGGAATCAGGCGTAATCCGGGAGGAGGTGAGAGGCCCCCCACTTGTTTGAAGAGAAGTGAGTGAGCGTGATGAAAGAAAGACTAGTGCACAAACGCTTGACAAAACCTCCAGAAGCTGTAGCGGTCTAGCGGTTTCAATACAGGTTGACGTGCCTTCAAAAGGAGTCACACATTTCTCAAATGCAACTTCGGATTTACATAGTGACGTGCGGCGACCCTGTAAATTGCGTGGCCGCAGGCCATGCTTGCAAACAGGACGTGCTCAAAAACACTGGTATTTACGAGGTTTCGTTGCCGTCGATCCACAGCCGCGGCAAGGTCTAAGGCCACGCTTGAAGACAGGAGGAGCTGAAAACACTGGTATTTACGGTATTTTGTAGCCGTCGATCCAAAGGCGCACCACGGTTGAGCGCTGGAAAAGCGCAGAAAACCGTGTAAATACCGGCGTTTTCTGCCGGGAAGGTGCACAAAACCCTGTAAATACCATAGTTTTGTGCAATTTTGAAGCCTCCAAAAGCCTCAAAAACCCTTTCTGACAAAATCTTTCCTGGTTTTTGGCCTTTTTTCGGTCATTTTTCTAACCGAGACGCATCAAAAACCATCGGTTTTTGCGGTGTTTTTTTGCCGGACAGCCACAAAAAACGCTGTAAATTCAATGATTTTGTGTCACTGCTGAGGACTGGCAGAGCTGAAAACACTGATATTTACAGTGTTTTCGAACGGTTGACCCCGAGGCGCGCTAGGGTGGAGTTGAAAGGGGGGGGGGGGCCCCCCCCCCCGGCCAGCAAACGAAGATGTCGGGGACCATTTCTCCGAGAGATAGGCTGCAGCTCTGGGTTAATACATTTTTGCTAAAGCAAAAGGAAAACTCAGGTAGCGTAACCGCTACCTTTCGTGACCTCTGGGGTTTGCGTTTCGAACCGCTAACCAAGCACAAGGTGGAATCAGAGATCAAGATATGTACCGTTTG